AGCTCACAGCAACAGAGGCAGTGTGTGGCTGCAGCCCTGTGCTATGTTTGGAAGTAAACACACCTCCCTAGAAAACAAAATGAAGCCAAGGTGGTAGAGAATATCCTGGTGTCAAGCGCACAGCTGGGCAAGATCAAGGAAGCAAGAATCACACAGATTTCTTTCCCCCACATCTACACCAACAGCACCATTACAGATTCCAACAAGTACATACATAAGATCAGAGGCACCTTTACCTTTATCACATACATCTAATGTAATATATGCCATTATTTGCCAGTTATGCCCCTCTGAATTCTATGTAGGATGAACAGGCCAAAGTTTGCACAAAGAATTAATGGGTACAAGTTTGACATCAGGACTCAAAACAAGGACAAAATAATACCATATAATCTCAACTTTCCAAGAGACTATTATAGATTTCTATTATCGATCTCAAAAACAAACTTTACCAGTACAATTAAGTAAGAGATTGCTGAACTCACACAGATCAAAAGGTTTCAGGCTATTTCAGAAAGACTCAAGAAACACAATGGATTTTTAACACAAGTATGGGGAATTGTAGTTATTATAGTTGTTTCCATAATCTCTATTTTTTATATATTGTATATGTTTTTAATATATTTTATCTGCAAATTATGGATTTTTTCTTAACTTGATTATTGGACTGATTCCCCCGTCTCTCAGCTCTGCTTCTCAGCCATCTTGCAGCTCCAAGAACTGCAGTTTTCTCTCGCTGTCTGAAGACTACTGCTGAGGTGCTTGTCTCTGGATTGGAGGTTTCTCCTTCCCATGTTTCTGCTGTCTTTGGGGCTTGACTCTTTTTCTCAATACACCCACATGTGTGCTTGTTTTCAGTTCCCTTTTATAAAACAAATTCTCCAATTAAGGAGAGGGTGGGACTGTTTTAACCTTCCTTCTCAGGCAGCACCAAAACTCTGGATGCCAGGAAGGAAAAAATGCCTACTTGCTCCAGCTAGTGAGTTCATTCTTTCCCACATAGGTACATGCATAGATAAAGGTGTATTTGATAAAAGGAGATATCAAGGGATGAGTGAAGATTCCTATGAATCCATCAGGAAGAATAAATGTGCAAATGAATGTCGCTTCCAGATTGGTATATGTGTTGCTAATGGTAGTTCCACTTCAATATTTTAAGCAAATTGATAAGATAACAGTCATCTTTTTATGGAACTGTCTCATTTAGGGTTTTTCTTTTAAAGAATATGGCCTTCCTATGTTAATGGTAGTTTTAATTTTCCTGGTTTTAAAGTATGTCACAGGTATATTGATGGCACCACACTAAAAGAAGCTGCTAGAAGCAGATAGGGACTTTCCTCCTGAATAAGAAAGTGCAAAAGGCCAAGTAAAGGTTAGCATAGCCACGAAGGCACCCCATGAGGAAGTAAGAAAATCTGCCCAGAGGCAAAGCAAAGCCCGCCAAAAAGATATGAACCAGTTAAAAACTGTGAGGTAATCTGACAAGATCTGTAAGGTATATAAGGTTGATGTGAGGACACGCTGGGCACGCTCGCTTTGTGACTAGTCCCAAATGTTAATCCTTTAGTTTTGTACAGAAGTAAAGTTTTAAATATGTTCCCACCCACCTTTGTGGGATCTTTGGCTATTCACACCAGGTGAAACAAACCAGCCAGCTTTGGGCTGGGACATCGGACATATTTGTTAGGTTTTTTAAATGTATTGGGATGAACGTGTAATTCAATATGTCCCTTTAAGAGCTCAGTTGAGGAGTTATTATTTAGCACCCTGGAAACCCTAGCAAAACCTGATTTAATAATAGTAGGAATGCTGTGATTTTGCTAGCATTTAAGGCAGTTCGACTTATTTGGACATTATTAGGTAAGAAATTAAAATTTGATCTGAGTTTTTATAAGACATTGAGTATTTGAAAAGATGACAATGATTTATAAAAATTGTGGCCCCTTTTTATTGATAAAGCAATGCCAAAACAGGGATGTCAAAGATTGCTAGCTATGTAAGGAAAAGAATCACTTTCTATTGGAGAATTTAAAATGAATGTTCAGCACAAAATGAGTTTTCTCTCCTATCAAAATAGCCAGAAATACCTATGTCCTTCTGGAGTGTGGGTGCATCCATATGTGAGTACATTCTTAGTCAAACTCTAAGCAGTGACTGAATTGTGTATGACTTCATTCCCTTAATTCTTACCTTGAAAATGTTTTTAGATCAAATTAGTTCATAGAAAAAAAAATGTTCTTATAGTATATATTGTTGAGTGAAGCGAATAATTCATATTAAAATTAAAGAAGAAAAGAGAAATATAAAGTGCTTGGAGAATTATATCATAAACAAAGAAGCTTCAAATCATTTGACCAAATTGTTCATAAATCCCCATCTTTCTCTACTGGTCAAACCACATGTTAACAAACAACATACATCAGAGACCTACCATTTTAAAACAGGGACAGATTTATCCTTCAACTATATAAATAAATTGGCCAGCTTTCATTCATGTTATGTTGAAGTATGACCTTGCTAAACTTTTTGAGAATGGCTACAAGTTTGCTCATGAGATCTCCAATCCAGCCATAATAATAATAATAATAATAATAATAATAATATCCCATGCAAATCCCAAGAACAATCATTTGCATCATCACTTCCCTCACTGTCACCCTCAAATTATGAATGTGGCCACCAAAAGTTTCACCATCACAGAACTAAGCCCAAATGTCGCTTCCTATCGGAGTAAGAGGAAAACACTTTTCAACTCAGGAAAATTTTGCTTCTCCAGCAGTTCCCTAAGGAATCAAACTCTAGTTTGATAATTTACAATCCTGTTTGCCTATCTTAATGACTGCTGCTTTTCCAAATCCCTTTGGATTTCAGTGCCCACTAGTGAACCTTATAATTAAGACTAGTGAAGAGTGTTATTCTCCCATACCATTTAGATAGCCTAGATTCAGGCTTTGGCAGCAGATTGAACCACCATTCAAGACAGGCACTATTAATCACAGAAATGCTAATATAGAAGAAAAAAAGTTATTTAATATCCAGAGGATGGCAGTTTTACTGATCTTGCTGCTAATGCTGCTTCCTCACATAGTCTGCAAGTCTCATAGGTGCAGCATCTCTCATCCATACCCTTCATATCATAAGTACCAACTTCTAGGAGATTTCTTTGTTGGTGGCATTGCTTCTCAGACTGGCATCCTCCCAAAAGAAGTCCTCTTCACTGAAACCCCCTCACCAGTATTGCCTGGAGAGTTTGTGTAAGAAACTGGATCACTGCTTCATTTTTCATTCATTTTGGTCACTTGAATAATCAAAGTGAGCAATATCATCTCAATACAATATCTTGCTTGGGTGATAGTAAAGAGATGCTGAGGAAAGCTCTCCTGAGGCAGAATATATTATGGCAATATATACGTGTATATATTCAAAATTTTACAACAGCATTCTGCAAATTGAGGACCCTCCCAAGGTGTAGCCTTTGACTGTCATAATTCTTTGAAATAGCACTGGGAAACACTGGGAGTTGAAGCCAGTCCTAGAGGGAACCCAGATTGGAGGAAGCTGGTTTAAAGGCTTTTAACTTCTTTCTGTTATGGTTTCACTATCTTCCTTTCAGTGTTTTCTCCTACCAAATCTCTTCATTATGCCAGCTTCATCCTTGGCTACTTTCCCTCCTCTTTATGCTTGGTCTTGGTCACATTTGGTCTGTTATGCTTTTAATTTGGCAGATTTTCACGATCGTATTTTTATTTCAGTGAAACATGGAAACATTGTAACTTCAGTGTTCTATCAAAGATGATCAATACATTTACCCCCTCATCCTTCAAATGCTAAAGATAGCCATTGTTTTGTTTGTATAACTTTTATCTAAGTCACACTCTTTAAAATTGTCTTCAGTTTTACCACAGGACTTCCCGAGAAGCATTATTTTTGAATGGGCTTAGGCCTTGCATCTCTTCAGATGAAGAGTCCACTAACTCCCCTGGTCAAATCTAAAATGAAATAATGTTTTAGGAAGTGAATCTAGAGCAGCCTTATCTAACCTGATGCCCTTTTGATGTGGACTTCACCTTTCAACATTTTCTGCCTTCAAGGCTCTGCTATATAGTGAGTTACAGGAGCTAAAATCCTTCGCATCAAAAAAATGCCAATTTGGGGAAGGCTGATCTACTGTACAGTATGTACACCTGTTTTTCAAGTATCACTCATGCAATTTTATTACATTCATCCTTTTGGGAAATATTTGGAAAATTAACCTTATTTTCTTACTAAAATCATGCACACACACAGACACAAACATGTAAAAATGATAAAGTGTTTAAAGCTAGCTATCTGCCAGAACTTTATATAATTACCCCTTTGAAACTGTTTATGCTTAATTTTGAGCTGCTTCCAGATTTTCTCTGTGCTTTTTTGCCTGCTTTTAAAGTAATATTCTTTGAGAATATTTTATTTTTTAATTTGTGATTTATCACTGAATGATTTCCACATATTAAGAATAATCCATACAATGCAGACATTTGTATTAAGGATATCTGTATTTGTTTGACTGCTAAGGTAAACATGAATGTGAATTTGCATATTCTTTGCAAAATTACATATATGGGGCAAATTTGCAAAGAAAAATTATTTGGACAAACGTATACAAAAATACTTTACAGAATTCTAGGAATGTCTGTTTTTAAAATAAAATTTCAGAATAGTTTCGAATTGGATATCAAGCGTTCCCCCCCCCACACACACACACACAAAAGCCTTGAAGAACCTAAAATTAACATATTTCCTTCCCTAATATGTATGGTAGAAAATTTGACATATACATATATTTACTTCTTAAAAAATCCAAACATGCAACGTTTTTACAAAAATGCAAATAATCTTCATGCATGTTGACAGTATATGCAGGTGGCTATTAGTTTACAATGTTAGAGAAATAGTGCAGTCAGCCTGCTGAATTCCTGATTAAAACACAAAAGCTGTTAAATGTGGAATGGACTTCTGATATGGAGCACAAATCTCATTATAGCTTAGTTCCTAAGAATTATCAGCACATCCTGTCTATGGCATTTGCAGTGAAGGAGATCAATCAAAACCCACAGATCTTACCGAATCTCACTTTGGGTGTCTACATCTATGATAGTTATGACAATGCCCAGAAGACTTACCAGGCCACCCTGCGACTTCTATCATCAGTTGAGAAATTGTTCCCCAACTATGTATGTAACATCCAGAATGATGTAATAGCTGTTGTTGGGGGACTGGATGCCCAAATCTCCCTTTATGTGGCAACTATTTTGGATATCTATAAGACCCCACAGGTAAGACACGTTTATCTATCTATATGCTAATTTAACATAACTTTTATTTTTAAAAAAATATTCTGGATTTTGTATTGCACCCCAGTCAAATAGA